CTCAGCGACTGCCCACCTTCCCAAAGACCGCTCATTCAGAGTCGCGCGTCCAAGCGGCTCCGGAGTAGAAGATGCACTGCATTTCGCCGAAACGTATACCAGCCAACTCATACCTGGTGGCACCGGATTCGGAACCTTCTTCCCGAATACTACGGCTGTGTGGGCCAATGCTACTACCACGGGTGGAAAACCAACTACGATGGCTATTGGGCAGACGATTAGGTGGCCCAGATGGGGCGAGCGGACTGTATGTCGGACCATGGCGGAGATACCAAACAGTGGCCTCGTAATGTGAGTTTGACAAGACGGAGAGGCTGTGCTAGCATTGGTTGATGTTACGCCTTAGTGATGCCAAGCGTAATACACCGCAGAACTTGACGTATGTGTATGTGACGACGGCGGCTATCCAGGGGTTATTGGAATACGCCGAGATTTCGAATAGGAGTTTGGCACAGTTGCCTGCAATCAACTATACTCAGTCGATGGATCTGGGGGATGAACTTCCTCCTGGACTAAGTCAGAGCGACGTGGCTATGATGGGTGGGTCACCCCACACCTCAAAGTTCAACGTCATCACTAAATTCTTATTGTAGGTACATGGTGGGACAACGGCGTCGCGCACCAGTTCCGCTCCGAGACACTTGATAGAGGTGACGCTGGACTCGGATGGACCGTGCTCGAAATTATCCTAGTGCGCTTGAACGAATCGTACGCGCCCCTGGCCCAATTCCCACAATACGTCCCCGGCTTGGGCAATGCAGTCAACCGAACCCGAATTGGACTTGATGCAGCGTTATGCGTTTCGGAAATAAGGCCGTATATGCTGGATGCTTACAATAATGTGAGTGTCACTCCATGTGAAGGTTTGATTGGGTGTTTAAACTGATCCTTGGTAGACTGCTGGGCTCCCTACTACACTCGGATACGTGTACAGCGGGAGTAAGTTTAATACCACAGGCAAAAAGATGGAAGGGGAATGGATTAAAGGTGTCCAACGTGGGATTAATTCAGCCGGAAAATGGGTGCCCTTTTTGAATGCGCATTTCAATTCTCGTAATGTGATGATAAAAGATAACGGGCGGGACACCCCCTATGTTCCTAATCCAACAGTGCGTACAACGCGTAGGCTGAACTAGCACGGCTAACATGCCTTTAGGTCGTTTCGTTTACCGGAAACACAGAGCCTGGGAACTATACAAAACTTGTCGCGGCCGAGTTACAGGATGTACTTGGGGATGTTGACTGCCAGCATTTAGTGAGTCAGAGTCGATAATTTGAGGCACGTTAATAACATTCGGCACCAGTTACCCTATCTAGTTGGAAGTCAACCAATTATTGCACATATGTACCCTGACAAAGTAGGTATTTCTTCATTCTTGCGAGTGGGCCAATTGGCCTGACGCACCAACCCCAGACCCTCGCATATACCAAGGTCTATCTCGTCTGGCTTATCGTGGCCCTGATAGGTAACCCTATCCAACCTAAGCGTCACCAGAATTAACCTGGTAACTCGTATTTTTCCAGTTGTATTGGTGATGGGCTTCGTGGTGGCGATATTCGTACCTCGCTTACCTCTCGGATTACCACGAAGAGACTTCGGTGTGTTCTCTTGGATAGCCGCTATTGAAGGCAAGTGATGACCTCCAGGGCCCTGATGGAAGGGGAAGACTGACGAGATCGGCTGGACCCAGGTGACTCGCTTGTAAATCTGCCGGTCCAAGTGGGCCGTTATGAGCGCCTCGAGGACCTTCAACGCAAAGCAAAGAATGTGCCAGTGAGATACGCAACTGGAGAGGATTGACAATAAGGCATTGACAATAAGGCAACGCGTGGTCTTGGTTTTCATTGGGCCATTATGTAGAATACTGTACAATCTGGACTTGTCAAAGGATTTTTATTTTATCCTATTGTTGGCGCCGCCTCCAGGGTCCTCGTCGATCAGTTTCCGACCTCTTGGTTGGGCGGCATCAGCGCAACTCGAACTACCACCACCTACCACCACCACCTACCACCACCAGCAGAGCATGGCTCAGATAGAGGCTAAGTCATGGGGCGCTGGGGTGACTGTTCCCGAAGGCCGATGTTTAGTCAATCTGGACGATAGTGCCCTACGGATGCTTGAGCCAGCACAACATCGCAAGAACCCGGTTCAGAGCTCGTACCATAGTTTCAAGTGTGAGTTTGGTTAGTGGTAGCACCGGTTTATTCTCGCTGACGCTCTGGGAAGATCACTTTAAACCTGAATCGATTGATGTTCGGAAACCGGGCAAGGTTCAGGTGCCTAACCCGCCAAGGGCAGCTGGAGAAGGAGGAGTGGCACTTGACGTAGAACTGCTGGGACCCAACGTAAGTGACTGGTGATATCTCGCTTGAACGTAGCTAACCTAGACGATCTCACACAGAGCGAAGATAAACATCTTTTTACGGCTGTTGAACAAGCAACGAAAGACTTGGATGTATTTATGATATTTGACCCCACAACAGGAGTATGTAACTCTATCTCATCCAGGGATGTCGGCTTCTGATATGATTGATAGGCTTTTACTATGTACGAGGCGGATAGCAATGTTATTCTCTCATACGACCGTGCTGCGTCCAAGGCAGCTTCCCGCTCCCGTTCCAAAACCTCTCCGGCAACACAACCTCTTTCTATCCCCGCTCCTCCCAAGGCTGCTCCTACTCCTGCCCCTGCCCCTGCCCCTGCAGCTCCCGTTCGGTTACCCGTGGCCAGTGCAGAGCCTCCAGCTGCTACTGACTCGGCGAAACGATCGGCGGTTGCACCAAAAGCTAAAAGGCCAAAACCTAGACCTGTGCCCCCGCCCAAGCCGGAGGCTCCACCCCCACCACCGGTCCAGGAGGAAGCTGAAGAAGGAGAACTCGAGCTCGAACCAGTTTCTGTACCCATACCCACACAACCAGACCTGATGGAGGTCGATGCTGTCACTCCAACAGCAGAAGCAGAGGCTGGGGAAGTCGACGAGCCGGAAGGAATATTACCCTGGGATGCAGTCCCTACTACGTCACACAAGCGAGCGGCGGCCAAAACGAGCGCATTTACTGCAACTGATCCGGACGAGGAGGTCATTGACTTTGGGCCATTGCTTGGCGGTGCACGAGACCCACCAGCGAAAAAGGGACAGAACAAGTCGTCTTCGGCAGCGCGGTCTGGGGCTGGGAGGATTGTCCTCCCCAAGGCTGCACCTAGGCAGCATCAGGAACCGCCACCTCGTCCGGCTCCTGTTCCATCGAACCCGGATCCTGACGACGATGAGTTTGAAGAAATTGTCCCTGGGGTTCAGGATGAGCTGGAATCCGAGATGATGAAGGTGCTTCATGAGAGTACCGACTCCTCCTCCTCTGGTGATGAAGACGAGGAAGAGGGTGGGTTTGATGAGCAGGCATTTGCGCAAGTGTTGACTCAAGCGGTGCTTGAAGATGAAGGGGGTAAGTCGCATTCAGCTCAAATGGAACGGTCGTTATTTATCCCACAATAGATACAGATTCTGACGACGATGACGACTCCTCTTCGGAAGAAGAAGACGACTAGTGCAGCTCGTCTTGGTGATTTCACCGCCGGTGAATGTTCTCGTTATTGCTTTTCTATGCCTTGGTCTACGATGTACTTATGCAGCCCGTTGTTTGTTGCTGTGCTTGTGTTGCTTCCATTGTTAATATTTTGTGGGTCGGGTTGGGAGATATATACTCAGTACACATTATATGATCTCATGAGTTGTCAAAATGAACATGCCAAGATTGAGACTGGCAGTTAAAAACTCTTCCATGAGAATACTTAATTGGCTACTCATTGTGGTTACTAGAGAGTCCCAAATCAAGCCCGCCTGGCGCAATGGTGGCGCGCCAGACTTCTAGGCTTTAGCTTAAGTAAATCTGGAGGCTGCGGGTTCGAGCCCCGCGGTGGGTTTTGTAATTACGGCATTATTTTTGTCTTTATTGTATAGACTATTACTCGATGGATCCCTAGGGATGGTGCTGGGAAATTGTATCCGGTGGCGTCGTTTGTTTTCTCGTAGCAGAGCGGGAGTGAACAGTCCC